GAAGATCATGGAACAGATCCTCCTAGAAGCTATGCTAAAGCACATGGAGGCCAGGGAGGTAATTCAAGATAGCCAGCATGGCTTCACCAAGGGCAAGTCCTGCCTGACGAACCTAGCGACTTTCTATGATATTGTGACAACAACAGTAGTCAAGGGAAAACCAACAGACATCATCTGTCTGGATTTCTGCAAAGCCTTTGACACGGTCCCCCACAACATCCTTCTCTCTAAATTGGGGAGATACGGATTTGATGGGTGGACTCTTTGGTGGACAAGGAATTGGTTGGATGGTCACATCCAGAGGGTAGTGGTGAACGGCTTTCTATCCGGATGGAGACCGGTGACGAGTGGTGTCCCTCAGGGGTCTGTACTGGGACCAGTGGTGTTTAATATATTCATCAATGACTTAGACAGCGAGATTGAGTGCACCCTCAGCAAGTTTGCAGATGACACCAACCTAAGTGGTGCAGTTGATACGCCAGAAGGACGGGATGTCATCCAAAGAGATCTAGACAAGCTGGAGAGGTGGGCCTGTGTGAACCCCAGAGAGGCAGTGGAGGCCCCATCCCTGGAAACATTCAAGGATGGGTTGGATGGGGCTCTGAGCAACCTGATGTAGTTAGCAGTGTCCCTGCTCACTGCAGGGAGGTTGGACTAGATGACCTCTAGGGGTCCCTTCCAACCCAAAACATTCTATGATTCTATGACTATCTAGAAAAGGACGTTAGGATGCACAAAGATAGCTTTTCCTATTGTATTGTTGTAACTGTCTACTAACATATGGTGTTAACTGTACATGCAGGATGAGACAAGAAAATTATTAGCCTCATTGTCTGAATTTGGTATCTATTTCATCAAGCAGTAAATTGTCACATCTTCTGCAGTAAAATTTTGCAGAGAGGTGATTTCTGCACAGCACCTAACAGCAAAGTTTTCCTTCAGTATAAAGCCACAATTCTTCCCCTTATCCCCCCATTTTGGGGGACCTTTTCCTTTGTATGCAGGCTTTCCTTTGTATGCAGTAAGATATGGTGCCCTAAAGCAGCCCACAGATAACCTGACTAACACCTATGGTCCTGCTGCATGAACAATGACCATGTGACCCTTTACTAGGTCTGACGTACCCCATTATCAGTACAAGCTGAAATAGCCGCTGACATCATTCTTTCTAAAGCGTAAGTGAGGAGAAAGCTTGCTCTCCCTCCTCTGCGCACACTTTTGTTACTCACTACCAATGCCAGAAAACAGCCAAGCAGCGTAAGAAGTCTAAAGGGTTACAGGAGGCAACTCAGAATATTGACTGGTTCATCTCCCTGCACTGTCAGTAATTGAGGCTTGGTAGAACATCACCTGAACTGCTTTCAACCACAGTATCTTGGTTCCTCGTGATGGCATCTGAGGGTGCTATAGACACTTGCGGTTTCTTCTGTCTAGCCTGACACAACCAGCATCCATCAGGAAGCGAAGTTTCCCCAGCCTAACTGATCTGGCAGAATTGCTTTTATCTACTTTTCCAAAAGCAGGCTGTGTCAAATTGCGTCACATTTTCTAAATAATATCTATACATATTTGGATTGAAAGAGGCCACTAAGAACTTTTACATACACTCTACTTTTCTGAATTGGTGGTTGTATCTCCTGGGATTTCTTTCTTCAAATATTTTCCTAATTATCAGTTCTTTCCTTCATTTGTGCATCATAAAAGTTGATGATCATAGAGATTTGTGTGGACACTTGCTGAGCAGAACCACTGCACCTGAACCTAGAACAATCCCAAGTCCTGATTGTGTAATTGCATGTATTGGCTGAGCTATGTGGCAAATTGATCAGCTCAAGAGAACCACATCGCCATAAAACCGAAGTAATTCCCAGGTTTCAAGGAGTACCTGCATGACCTCATTCCTTTTGATGGGCTTAGTGGGAGCTGAGGATAACAGTGTAGGTGCACACCTAGTAATCTAAAGGCTAATGTATTTTAAATTGTTGGGACATGATTATCTGCTCTTCATCCACAGAAAGAGTATAATTAAAGGGATCAAACAGTTGTGAAGCAATACGGAAAGGCTATTGTTATTTTATGTGCACTGTGGAGATTGCTTCTTTCCAATCCATTACAAGTGTTTGAGATGTCAACTTTTTTTTAAACTGCATTGTTCTATATATTTTCCTTTACGGTTTCCAGAAGCATTGCATGCATTTAGAAGATTCTGTGACCATCAACAGCAAAGGACATAAATCCTCTTATTCCGCTCATTTGGAAGAACTCCAAACTTTGCCTCCCTCTGCTGTCAGTCCCTCTCTTTTGTACATACTGCCTTTTAAATATCTACAAAAGATTTTTCAAAAAGACAAGGGACAAGTATTTGGTATTACAAGCACATGGCTTCACCCTCTTATTCTATGTCACTAAGTCATCCTGCTTAGGATGTGACTATTTATTGGTAGCAGTTAGCTTTAGTCTTTCGTATTTTTGCCTAGACTGGTACTTCTGTACAAGAAATTCCAAGAGGCAGAAATATAGCTGATGGTACTCTATCCTCTTCCAAAGGTCTGCCTGCCTGTGTTAACAGCCTGTGCTAGGGGAAGCAGGCACTCACAAACATTCAAAACAACTGCCAAAAGGGAGACTGATTGTACGCTCGCTGCTGTGCAGTTTATTTATTTAATCTCATTTGAACTCTGCAGGCAAATAGGGCAATCAGCAAGGATGAGATGTGTTGCTTCACATATTAATGCTGTCTCTACTAAGAAAATGTCATATTACATCTGTTTGTGATCATAGTAGAAGGCAACCTAATGAAATAACCTTAGGTCTCCTTTAAAATGGTAATTGAGAGGAGACACTAGTATCTATTTCAATTTCCAAGCCAAGTACAGAGATTTGTCTTTATGGTAAGACTAACACCATTTTAAATATCTTTTGACACCATGCACTTTATAAAAAAAATTAACACTGTCTCAGAGGCTGAAACTTCCCTGCTTAATTCCAGATTCCATTTAGCTGTGTTTTCTAGTGGAAGATAACCTCCCCCAGCCCTGTTAACACAGGAAACAGAGGGGACAGGTTCCTAACTTAGCTGTTCAAATCCAAAGGGATGAATCTAGGCCAGATGAAATATGTGCATTTAGAAAGGAATTACTTGGACTTCACTTTATCTTTGGCAATTTCTACCTACAAGGTTATAGATCTGAGCAAAGACAGTTTGGTACTCAAGCAAATGAGGGGTTTAGATCTAAAATATATCTGTGGGTATGGACAGATAAAAAGAAATAAGAGAGTCTGACTTTTGTTTCTCTGAGATGCCAGGCATAAGTTCACTCTCCACTTTATGGATTCTTCACAGTTAAGTTTATTGGAATTATTTGTAAGAACAGTATTATCAACTCACACTACTCATAACTCCTCTCCTTGTTATTGCATATACATCAAACATACAGAGGCTATTCCATTTTCCATATATATCTTACTGCTCAAGCAGAACAATAAAACAGTTGAGTGAGCAGAGTATAAAATCAGAATGTAAAATAAGGCAAGCATGATAAAAGCATTAGGCTCAGTAGTCTTTTACTAGAAAAATAGATTTCACTGTCAAGTTTCCTCTGAAACTTTTAACAAACATATTGCAAAAGAGGAAAAATGAACTTTATGGTAAGCAAACTCCTTCCTTCGAGGCACTGTTACGTAACTTCTAATGTCAATTTGAAAATAATTCAGGAAGTCAATTGATAGAAATATTACCCTAATCATAAGAAAAAGAACAAAAATCTTTATTTGGTTAAATAAAAGGCTGAATGGAAAAACAAATCAGATTAAATTTCTGTACGGGAGAAAAACTATCACTATTTTGGCTAAGATGGAACAAACATTACAAGTTTAAAGTCTTACAAAATTCAACTAGAAGAATGAACTCTGTTACCAACAGTAAATTTAGACAATTCAAAGAGTTTTAGTAACACATCATAAAGTTTGCAACTTGGGTTAATTTTTTTTATTAAGAATTGTTTAATGCATTGTATACACATGTTCTAGCATAAGAAAGCAACATGACTGCAAAACTATTTAAAACCAGTGGATAAAAAGTTTTCCAAGGATGCAACTTCCAATTCTCTTATGAAACATATCACTTGGCTTTGCGTTTTCACCTGTGCGAGTGCTTAGCAGTGGCAGATTGTCTTCAGTCACTGTACAGAACTTCCTACACAAACACTGACTGGCCCAGCAAAAAAAAAAAATGTTGTTTCTCTGACATATTTAAGCTCTATCTTCCCTGTACACACCTAATCATGGATCATCTCAGCTTCTGCTGTCTGCCCCTCAGGACCTCTATGGAATACCTCCAGGTCCTTCCCATGTCCCTACAGCCATTCTCAACTGGTTTCTTCCTCAATCCTTGCCCCTTCATATTTTGGGGGAGCTCCCAGCTAGAACTGCAGCGTGATGCAGCTAAGTGTGGTCACCCTGCACATGCTGCATAGCTTAACATGTAGAGGACCACCCAACTGAAAAACTCCCTCTATACTGAAGACACCAATCAATTTCTTTCTGATTTTAATCACTCAGGAGTCAGTGTTGAGAAGTTGTGAGGGTAAATTTAAAGGCAGAATATAAACCTCATTTTCTTTGGTTGAAAAAACAGAGGTACATGGATGCTGATTTCAGCAGCAACATCAATACTGATGGATTTTTTCTCTCTTCCTCAGGACTGCGTGTGTCAAGTGACCTATCACTAATGACTTCATTATCTTGTCCCACTATTGGGTAATTCTGAGGTCTCCATCCTAAGGAAGTATTCATACAGTTCTATCTGAGCTCACAGTCTGGAAACTGTTCTAGTATTTGTCAAGTTTCACTAGGAATCTGGTCTCACAGCTGCCTGTGTCTACTGTGGACATATAGAAAGGAGGAATTTGCAGTGACCAGTTTGAAGCATGATGAAACAGCCCTTCAGGATTCTTTTGCAGACTTCAAACTTCTCTCAGAAATGGATAAGGCTTTTTTTGGTATAGAAACCAGCAACATATCACCTCTTGCAAGAAAACAAGGATTTGATCTTGGAAGACAAGATTTGCCAAACAAGTGTAATGGTTAGACTCAGCCATATAAGTCAATTATTACAGATTAATGGTTGTTATTAAAACTAATTAAAACACCTAGATCTCCCTGCTGTTTGAAAGAAATATTGTATGGATTGCTTTGGCTCTCATTTAGAAATTCTTTGCTTGAATGAGGTAAAAAGAAATCACTGCCTAGAGTTTTGGTTTAAGGTTGCCAAATTTTTGTTCTATTGAAGACTATGTTTCCATAATGAAATGGATACACAAAGCAACTGCAGTAGGAATGTTTTGAACATACGCAATGTGTATTTCTTAAAATATACATTTCTAGATTTCCAGAGCTTCCTGTGTGGTATCTGGACTAAAGAAGTAGGGGACTCTGTAGGGGAACCCAAGGAAGTTTGAACCTAAGCAGACCTATAAGGAATAAAACCACTTATCAAGATGAAAAAAAAAAAATCTACTTTCCAACCTAAAAATAAACACCAAACCCCTTGGAAATATGGCAAGCAGAACATGCTAGAAGCAGGCCAAGACAAAACTACAGTTAGACCAAGCTCTTGTACAATCCTGACAGGAGGAACACATCATAGATCTAAAATCCATGCTTAATCCAGGTTCTCCAGTTCCTGCCTGCCTTCAGTGCAGCCCTTGTTTGCCAGTGCCAAAAAAGTATCTATTCATGTAACTTGCTACGTTGGCCAAGTCTTCATACCACAACTTCAACATCGGGTAGGAATGCTCAGTAAAGGTAGAAATAAGTTGTTACCATTTCTGATTAAAAGGTGGGCTTTTTTCCAGATAGTACCTAGCCTCCTTTTTGTTGCAAAAGATACTAATTCTGCTTTATTCAGAATCTAATCCTTAAAGATCTATAAGTAAGCTTACTTTTTTTACTACTGAATTTCCTACAAACCCCCTATTTTCTACAAAAAATAAAATGCCATGTTTCAAACAATTAATATACAGAAGTAAATATTTTTAAACTGCAAACACCTGCTGTAACAAAAATGCTGTTATATCAATGATAAATTCATATAAAACGTGTAAATGCATACTGGTTTTTATAGTGCATAGAAACTTCAAGGCAAAATACAATAAACACAGTATCTTATCAAGGGAAATCTTTACCCATGTTCAGCTCTTACACTCAATCACTTCATGCTTATATACTACCCGCTGTTTTTTATCTGAACTTTTAAGTTTTTAAAGCTGCAGAATAAATTACGAAAACCAAAAAAGCATAGATCTGACTGGATTTTGTCCCCCGTTTCCAACAAAACAGCCAATGCTAAGCTTTCTGGTATTTTTCAAACCCATCATCTTAAGAAAATTCGTATCTTAAGAAATATAGGTACATTCTGAATACTTTCTCACTTAAATGAACCTATGAAAATTTATATGAAGACATTTTACTGTTCAGAGCAAACTGCAAAACTGTTAACGTTTTGTTTAAACCACGATAAAGATTTCCCTTTGATCATTTCTTTGGTAAAAATGGCTGTGTCACATTTACTTCATCTGCTAGTAAAAGGCATTTTCTTTGGTGGAAATACTTTGATCTTACAAGTCCAGCTTTGTAACACTTAGATAATAGGTCCATTCTGTATTACCTGCTCATTCAGCAAATGCAGGTTAGCTCCCATTTCAGACAAAATCAAACAAAATTCAAACAAATCAGTTTTAACACAACAGGAAGTCTAATCACATGAAAAATGCCTTTCAGTAGTAAAATGACAATGTTACAAACAGGAAAGGTCTAAATGCAGTTTCACAGCTATTTTAAAAGCATCTCATTTCTTGAAAGTGTAGAGGAGTTTACTTAGAAGCATAGTGGATGTTTAAAATGCACAGCTGCATATATCTTCTGTAGCTTTGTGATGATTTCCAGTTCTGCTGCCTTAAATCTCCTGAATTAAAAAAGAATAAACACAGATCGTTATAACATGAATTCTATTCTTTTGCTGCTTAATATTTTCACATATTTCTTCAAAAATAAACTTCATTCCAGTTTATATTTTACAGTTCTTTTGAATGGTCCAATTTGCAAATCTGAATCCTTCATGATTCACAGTGTCATGCACCAAAAGGACTTTACAAGAATGGGACCTTAGCTCCAATATGGGATAAATCCTGGGGAACCTAAGTCACAGCAACCAACAAGTACAAGAACGTGCAGGAAACAGAGGAGACAATACATACTTGGAAAGTGTTTGTTATTGACTGTTTTCCTATTTATTCATCTCTTTTATATAACTTTACCTGACACTTCTCTTTCTGTTCTTTAAAACAAAGGGTATGGAAACAATCATCTCTCAGGCAGATGGCTTGCGATAAGGAAATACTGTACCAGCAGTGACATGGATGCAAAGTCACTCACACCCCTCATCTTGAGATAACAGAATCACAGAATGGCAGGGGTTGGAAGGACTGGATGGTCTCCCGAGGTCCCAACTCCCCTGCTAAAGCAGGGTCACCCAGAGCAGGTTGCACAGGACATCATCCAGGCAGGCTTTGAATATGCCCAGAGAAGGAGACTCCACAGCCCCCTGGGCAGCCTGTTCCAGTGCTCTGTCACCCTCAAAGTCAAGAAGTTCTTCCACATATTCAACTGAAACCTCTTATGTTTCAGTTTGTGCCCATTGCCCCTTGTCCTGTCAAGATGAGAGACTGGGGTTCCAGATGCAGAGGGGGAATAACAAGGGGAAATAGCTAGAGTGTGTAGGATTGGTCCTCAACTGAAAGAACCATACTCTGACAAGCATTTCCAGCTGGCATAAGCAGAAGCAGCCTGTCATTAAGACTGTAAAGAGGGCAGAGAATCAGGGAAGTTCATTATACAGCTTCCACAGGGCTACATATCCTCCACCTCCTTTTTCTAACACTAATCCCTTCAATCACCATCTATTAAGCTCTGCCTTTTTTCCTAGACTCCTATAATCCCTCATTTCGTATCTCTGGTACTGTCACATTCCCCACTCACTATTACACTTGCATCCTTCCTCCATAAACTCACCCGACACCTAAACTACAGCCTGAAAGAGCAGGATTTTGGATACATCAGCAATTCTTATGCATCACAACACCTACCCCACCATCCACAGAAATGTTTCATGATCAGTAGCCAAGCAATTAAACAGGTTAATCCGGGTCCTATTTTAAGGACTGCATGGGTGAACCAAACTCTTAAACCACAACAATGACAGCACTAAGTTAAAAGGTTTTGGATTTGCTTTCTTGCTGATATTACATCATGAATGACTATATATTGTTTTATCTAAACAATGGTGCTATTACTGTGTTGCTCCCACAACAAAAAGCCCAGGTTGGGATGGCACAGTGGATTTCTTGTATTAGGCTGCTCAAAAGGAAAGTAAACTCTGGTCTCTGTTTCATCTCTTACTTACCTTTTTAGGAACCAGATTAAGTTTTTCTGTGCCTAGCACTACTGCTTTCCAGACCATTGCTTTCTTCCACTTTACTGTAAGAAAGAGAGGTTAAATTCCAGAACTCAACCTTTAAGTATATGATGAGCACAGTCATTCCAGTCCCACAATCCAATCACAGAATCTATCTAAAATGCATTTGATTCTGTGCTTTAGCATGTCAAGTTCTAAGAAAAAAGAAGGCTGAACAAAATTTAAGCAACCAAAATTTGACTCTGTTTTAGCCGAATAGCGAAGGCTCAACTCAATCCCCCTCAAAAATCCCACAAAGTTCTGAGCAGAAGCTATAACAGTGATAGTATTCCCAGAAATGATTGCTGTACTATCATTTCATTCAGTGTATAGAACAGAAAGTGAATGATCAAATAATATACAAGCAATATACACCTCAACATCCTCAGAACATGGGCTGAAACTGTCATATGTTTGCTTCTTATGGAGTACCTACAACTAGCTACACCGTGTTGGTCACAATCAAGACTTGAAGTAACAATTCTCTTGCTAAAAAAAGATCTGAATCACTAGCCTCCCACCTAATACATTGTTCAATGTGACATTTTAATTATAGCCTCACCAACAAAACTCAGCTGTATTAGTCATCACTTGACATGACAGACCAGAAAAGTTCCTTTGGAGCCATTCTCTCTGGTACACAAATCTATCTTCTAAACAGCTAGTAGTTGAAATAACTTTCAGTTATTAAAACCAGGCAAGAAGTACATGGTTTAATAGATTCTCCTCAACTGTGTTTATCTACGAACTCAGAAGTAAAGATCAAGCAGCTGATCAAAACCACATCCCACATCTCACCAAGCATGAAAACATTATTTTAGTGTGCTAAACTGTGTTACAATCCTATTGTAATACAGTTCCAGCATGTTTATAAGAACCATGTCTGTGCGACAAGGACAATTATTCAATTGTCAACCCAAGACATATCCCCAAACACTCAGCAGTATAATAGCGTACTATATTCCCAAGACATATCCCCACTTTAAATCTGTAATTCAATTATTCTATAAAGCTGTTTAGATAAGGGGGAAAGCACTAAAGTGTATTTTCAGCTAGCACTGGAAAAAGGAATGGGAAAGTGAATACACTACAGAGAAACAAAGAAGGTCACTGCAGCAAGAATTTGAAAGAGGGAAAGACAGCACTACTCAGAGGCACAAAAAAGGGAATATTATATGAAGTCCAGGAGGAGAAAAGGGACTGAGGGGAAAGAAAGCCAGAGTAGACTGGACACATCTAAAAAAGAACTGCTAGGCTGCATCATAAAACCAAAGGAAAGTTAACAGGCCAAATGAAGTGACTGGACTTCAAAGGATGGGCAGAGGGAGAAAGTATAGCTTATTTTAGCAAGCAAGCCTTTAGAAATGCATTATCCTAAGCAGGGGGGAGCCAGCACAGGAGCACCAAGCTTGAAGCAGCAGAACAGCAATAGAAGCACCTATGCCTGCTCCTTGGCTCCACCAGCGCAGCCGTTCTGGTGCCCAAGGAGCCCAAGCCACCAGCACAGTGAGAAGCCCCCACACTGAGGCTGGAGTTACCACCACAACAGCCAACACCAGCTCCCAACACCCCAGCAGCTTCAGGCTTACCTAGGACAGTTAGGGCTTTGACCACATGCAAATGAGAGAAATGTATGTTAATATGGACATAAAAATACATATGAGAAAAAAATTCAAAGCCTTTTCTGTAAAATTTCCACCTGAAAGTTATTTTCCTTTAGTTATTGCCTTTTAGAATGAGTTTATAATGAGGACACATGGTACTCAGAAAATATTGAATTATCTTCCAAAGACCAAAATTAAGTGCCAAGTAGAAAACAGCATTCTTCACACTCTGGAATTAGGGAGTCTTAAGTAAAGGAATAAACTGTACTTTCAGATTCATCATTAACCCTTACCAATTGGGGCAACAATAAGGTATAATTTTATACAACACACTGTAATATGTAAAGGAGCAAATATTTAACTATAGTATACAAATTCTTTACTTACAGTTGCTCAATTTGGTCAAACTCTTTTCTATCTGCATAACAGAAAAAAGGATGACATAAGGTCTCAATTTGACAAACAGTAGAAAAGTTTGTTTAATTATATTATTTACTCCATGTACAAGCAAAACAAAATCTTATTTTTTCATTTTATTAGTTTTCTTAAATTTGTAATTCAAATTACCTTGTTCTTCTATTCAATGGAATTACCTACAAATTTGTAAAAACCTTACTTTGATCAAGTTTTATTAACCTGATTTTAATGCATATCATGTAATATATTATATATACACATATGTGTACATGTATGCATATATGTATAATGCATAGACACATGTCTACATAAATTTTACACGTGCAAGGTGAAACAGAAGTGACATCTAGTTCAGCTCAGCTATGCATGCGTTAGGTTCAGCAACCAACATTAGTGTATTCTGGCTTAATGCATTTTCCTTCTTATGCAATGCCTTGACAGAAGTTCCTCCCATCAAGACTACTAACAGTTGCTTCCATTTCTAAGCATTCCCCAGAGAAGTACAGCCTCTAAATTCCATTGTCTTGTAAGTTAAAAAATAAGGACTATATAAAATCATTTACAAGAAAGTATTGCTCATTGAAAGCACTTTTTACGTGAATTCTAGACTCACAGAAGAGATTTAAAAATCTAAAATAATGCAGTGTTGTAGAAGGAAGTGTTTTATCAGAAAAAAAGACAGATGTGAAAAAAACCACCGTACTTCACATATGAATTGCTATGAGTCAGACCTTTCTACCTTTGGCTGCAATTTCAATGGAAAGCTAGAAAAGGCTGAGAGAAAGGAGACTTACCTGCACGTCTCTCTCTCGAATACATCTCATAAAGGAAAATAACAGTTACTAAAATAACAACTTCAGCCACAATTGCTAGAAATGGTTTGAGAGGCACCATGATGGACAGAACTCTAAGCTGCAGCTTTCCTCTACTTTTCCCCAGTTCAAAAGCAGCTTCACACCAATATACACCATCATCTTCCTTCGTGAGGTTCAATATCTTCAAGTGAATTGCACTGTCAGATGTTCTATTAATCACATACTTGTCTGGCAGCAAAGAGCTATTAATGGCAATCTGAAAATAAAAAAATACATTACATCTTATTAATGCAATGAGAAAGTGTATAATCAAATTATTTATATTATCAACAGATAGTTCTAGAGAGAGATGTAAAATGAGTTAAGAACAAGATGCATTTGTGAAGCATGTTCAGTCAACCTCAAAGGGAAGGATTTATCTTAGCTGGCCACCCCAGTTCCCTTTACATTCTATGGAAGAAAATACGCACTTTTAGTGAGCAACTTCTCTGACCTGTTTTAGCCTATTTAAAATCAGATGAAAGGAACCCTTGACTCTATTGATTTTCCACTGACAAAGGCAGTCTCAGGTGTCAGGATCTAACATCCACGTTTCACCACAGCACAAAGCATCCACTTTCTAGCAAGTTGAGCTGGGAATGCTGATTCACTGGGAAATACATTGATAGTCTTGCAAAGTCAATCCTAGTCTCCAGCAGCACAGAGGTGACCGATCTGTTCACCTCCCAGCAGTTGACAGTGCTTCCCCCAGAGAAGGGCTAGAACAAAGTGGCTATGCTTCCAAGGCTGATGGGGATTCTGAAAGGAGGGTAAGTGAAGGACAAAAACTGCCGCGTGGCATTTTTTTTTCCCTCACAGCCTTTAAGGCAGGAGCTGAAGTGGGAAGAGATCTCAGCTCCTTCAGAATCAAGTGGCACAGTGGTCTCCACTACAGGATAACCTCCTTCAGATCCAGTTCCCCAGACTGGTCATACAGGCTGGGAAATACAGAAGTACTTGTACCTGGAGAAAGGGGAAGATAAGGGACATGGCTCCTGTTCTCCCTCAAGCCTCCAATCCCTTACATGTCTTTCAAAGGGTGTCCTGCTATGGCAAGATGTTTTTCGGTATCAAGTAGTAAGATTTGAGCAATGTAACCATCATTAATATAGCAAAGACAAGTACCTCAAGGCTCATTTGATTTGTTTTACTCTTACCTGGGCTGTAAGAGTATGGCAGGGAGCTTTTGGAAAAGAAACATCATACAAACCAGAATAAAAACTCATCCCTGTAATAATGAATACTTATAAGTATCACAGATTTTTTCCCACGTGCAGAGATTTACATTAAAGTTAATGGAAATATAATTTGTAGACCCTACAGTGAAAAGCCATTATACTTTACAAAGTGTCTGTACTTGATTTTTGCCACAATGTTTTGCTTGGCCGACATACAGAAACCTTACCTCTTCGCTTCCATTGGTCATATACCAAGTCCAAGCAATGGGAACATAGCCAGCACTTTTACAAACCATTACAGCTGTGTCTCCTTCATAACTGACTATGGGTTTTTCTTTTCCTTCAATTTTCGGTACTAAGAACAAGTAGGAAAAAGTTCATCAGGTGAGACCCACATGTTTTAATTACAGTATTACAAAAAGATAAAATATATTTAAACACATATTTATAGAGGTCCGATCACTTTCTTTTCCTGTAAATACAGACAATTCTATCATTCATGACATGATCTAAATGAAAAGTCACTTCAGGCTGATATTCCATATACAGGATTTGTGCAGAAGACTACAGGAATCCTGGTCTCAGTTGCTGTATAATCTTAAAAGTTGCCAATTAATACTGAAAACCAAGTGATAATCAGACTGATTTCTACCCTTGCCCATATCCTCTTTCCCTTCCTTGACAGCTGTGAGCTACATGCTTCAGTTGTAGTACACTAGAAATAAACATACTAATGTTTCTACAATTTCACTCCATCTGCAAAAACTGGTAGAAGTCTATTCCAGCCATAATGCTATCAGGCAGGTTGTGCATGCAGAGAACTCTTTTTTGTAATTAGGACAAAACTGAAGATTGAGGGAGCTTTGTAGTTACAGTTTCTAAGCTGAGGTAATGACTTGTGGGTGAATGCCAGCAAAGAGGATTTTTGGTCCAATCTTGCTAAGGACAAAACATGGCCACAAGAAACAAGGCATCACGTTATAACTTGAGCTACTTGTTCCAGCCATTATACCTGTAGATGCCCCACTGTGTTCCAAGAGCAAAATCCCCAAAAAAGGCTGTTGAATTTACTGAGGCATCCCACAGATATAGTTAGAGCTGAGCAGATATATAATGATAGAGCATGTATTTCCCCTTTCCCTTTCTTTCCCTCCTTATTAGGATATTTACCAACATGTTTTCCTCAGACCTTCAAGTTTCATTGCTCTACCTTGTATTTACAGATTCAGTACATCTTTTAAATTACATTGGTTACACAAAACTAAACAGGCCAAGAACTTGCTTGCAACAGTTATGATGGAATAATTTGGTACAGACCAAGATTGTTCTTGTACCTTCCCCCTTGTTGACTGGCTGAGCATAATTAATTGTCCTGAAAAGTTCACTTCTCATGAGTATTCAAACCTAAAAATTTCCATTCCAGAAATATGAAAACAGTTTGTTAATCAGAACACTGCTTCCAACCTCAGAATTTGCTGCACAATATATCAATCCAGCCTCATTACTAGTGAAGCCTTCTCACTCCACATATATTTGTTTTAATCATTAAACACTATCCTTTTAAAGAGTAGTGACAGAGTATCCTCATTGCTGTCAATAAAAGGGACAACTTTACTAAGTGCTGCCACTTCCTTTGCAAGTTATAGAAGAGAAAAAACCAAAAGCAGGTTGGGGAAAAAAAGAATGGAACATGTAAAACCAAAGAAAAAGCCCTTGTAAGCAGCAGCACAACAGGTTTATGTGGCAGTGAAAAAGATTTATCCATGCTGTTCAGTGGCAAAGCACAGCTATAGGCATACCAGCAATATCTTTACCACATTAGTCATGATTAAGGTGATAAATATCCCTTTGAGGGCAAACACAAATTAGTCTGTTCTACCCTTTAATATAACTTCACACCATTCCAAGAAACTCATGAATGGTCTCCATGTTCAATAATCTGAACTTCCTATAAGCACCTCTTAAGTGTTACGATTTTTGCAGACCTGGGTAAAATCTCAAATCCTTGAAATCTGCAGGGTTACACCAAGCCAGGATGGGGTGGGGGGGAAGGGGAGAGGCAACACATCCAATAGTGCCTATCTGCCTAGTAGAAAAACTATTGCAGTTAGTTACATCAGTGATGACTAGCCACTGAGTCTATATCAACACATTACTCATCATTCCATTCAACAATCGTTCTCTCTGCATTATTGAGTGGAAGATTCAAGGACTGCTCTTTCCCATTTCCTTCACTCTTGCATTAATCTTGAAGTCTCAAGCCAGTACTTTTTATGGCATCAGAAGTGGCAGCATTCAACCACTGTGAAGCAATTCTCCCATCTTCTTGTAATAAATCAACCAGTCCTAAGCACTGTTCTGGAAAAGATGACTTCCCTATTGAGTCATTCCTGCCCTTACTGAAATAGTTATTGTATACTTTCAAAAGAATAAGGTCTCCTTTGACTTTGTTTAATCTAAAAAGACTTGGGTAGCCATTCAACTAAACCTTATACACATGTTGTCAAGAAATATATAATTATCTTCAGAGATTAAAAGGTGTGAATAAATGACAATTTTATCTTCAGTATTGCAAGCTAGTCTCCCCTGGTTGAAGGTTTGAAAGCAGGTATTCAAGACTTAAACATACGTGAGAGTTTCCTCAAGTCCTATGACTAGACATCCCACTGAACAAAGCCAGCTTGCAGCACTGAGAGTTACAAAGCCCTGCTGGTTAGCTCAGCTGGGGTTAGGGTAGTTATTTGAAGAGTTAAGGATTTTAGGAGCCTGTGTTCAAGGGAGAATCTTTCTTACTTATCACAGCCTGTGGAGCTTTCACAGATCAAATGCTCGCCTTGCTCTTTGCAAAATTTGGATGGTGGGAACAGAGAAGGTAATAGCTCTCAGATTAAGGTTCTCAGCAGCTTGTGTTTGTTTCATTTCCGCATGTTTTCTATTCAAATGGATTTCATCTATCACTGTCAAGGGCAACTTTACTGGAGAAGAGAATACAAAAGAGCAGAACAGGCACTCACACTGCCCAATGAAGCACACTAACTTTTAAAGGTAAGAGCTGTTCTTATGTTATGTAAAGTGAAAGATACACTAAAGCAATAACTTTGTATTTCAGAAATACAACCAAATTTGCTCAAAAACCTGCCTCCATTCTGCCAATCATTACTCTTGTTGTAACACTGAATCTCAGGCCAAACTTTCAAATCATTGGCTCTGCTTTTTGAATAATTTATCTGAGACACCATCCTTTCCTCCCACCCCTCAGAAAGTGATGATGCTGTAGGCATGGAGAGGGAAGGGGTAATCAGTTACTCATTTAGGAAAAAAAGTAGGCTTATACACTTTTAGTTGTTACAAAAATTCTGTTTAAAAGGCTTTTAGTTTTTACTTCAAAATTCTTCTTCCCTCCATGCTACAGAAATGCCTTTGATAGCAATTCTCACTTACCTTAACCATGTTAGGCACTGCTTATCAAACTAAGTTGAAACTTCCATACTATCCAGAAAACATATTAATACAGGATTTCAATGGTCAGATAAAGCAAAATTTAAAATAACTTGCCTTGTAAATGAAACACAGCGCTGATTTCTTCTTCACCTTTCAGAGTACAACTGTAACTTCCCATCTTACTGCTGTCTGAGATATTCAATCTTCAAAAAAAAAAACAGTAGTTTTACTAATTTGCCTTTTTGCTCATATTTTCTTTCATCCTACAACTATCAATGACTGCTAATTACCATTCTAAAGAAACCAGCAGAGATTAGTAGTGGAGCAGAGAACATACATTGCTGAAACAATAGGATTCAGGTTTACTGTTGTTCAGGAACAGCATGATATTTAAGAAAACAGAACAGGCACAAGCATACCTGGGAACATAAATATCATTTTCACCCTCACTGCTCACAGAAAGCCAAACATCTTTAAGCAGTATGATCTACAGGTTACCAAATTAGATGTGGGTTCACCATGTGAACTACATAGTATACACTATGTCAGACTTCAGAAGAAATTTAAATGGTTTGTTCTTTCTAAAGCCAGTCAGTCCATGACTACCATAGCTCCAACACAGAACAGTTTTAAAGAGCTGCCACCTAATGAAGCCCAGAATCCTCTCTGCTGGCAAACTGTACTCAGTAGAACAAAAGTGACAGTACATTCCCATCACATTTTCTATCACAGAAATGTTATATAAATATTATTGATGTTAAGAAACCAAAGCAATACAAAAATCCACTGGAGACGACCTGATTAATTAGCCCACTTACAGGTTTTTAAAGTCCAACAGTAAACTGTAGCAATTGAAGAAAATTTTCTACAACACTTCCTGAACTTCTGCAGAAGTTCAAAAGAATTAAGAAAACGTTAAACAAAATCCAAAACATCTTTACTGTAAAGCTGATTCCTTCTCTTTGCCTAGTTATGAATGAAAAAAACTGGCCATTGATGTCTTTCAGACATCTGCAAAGCAGCACTGAGGTGGAAAAGAAAGTGTGGAGAATGAAACTGAGGTTTTTTGCAGTCTCAGACTGAGATTACTGTTTCACTTACTGAACAGAATTACTGGACCTCAAAGAACTGTCCTTATTCTATATTATTCCCTTGAAGAAACCTTGTTTTTCCAGCACTAGACAAAGAACAGGAGCTCTTCTTCCAGGCTTGAGGTCACTGCAACCTTTTTCCTCTCCTGCAGCTTTTATATCTTGATTATGGGCACATATTAATCACTGCATTTGGCTCTTTCCTAGTATAATTGGCTAATATTGGGGAGTGTATATGCATGCAAGTAAATCCTTAGAACCTGCAAGTCAAAGTGTAAAGAATGCTACTTACAGGATGCCCCAGCTGTTTTCAGTTTTATTGATGTGTCTGATTGTTTTGTTTCCCCTCTTCCAAGTCACTTGAAGGCTTTTCAAATGAGGATAGTTGTCCAATCTGCATGAAAGTTCAACTCCAATTGCATTGGCCAAAGTGACATTTTCTTCTACGGAAGCACCAGAAACACCTAAAAAGTTCAAAAAATTGGTTATGAAAAACATTTCTTCATCTGGGGGAAGAAAAGATTCAAAGATTGTGTTTTACATATGCTGGATTACAGGTAGATACGGCGTGCTGCTGTTATAGTTCCCAGGATAAAAAAACCTGCAAAATCAGACAGTTGGTGTTCAACAGTAATTTTCTTAAGCCATGACTGAGTTACGATACACATCCATTACAAAAATTAGACAGTCACTCCATTCTGTAGGTAAACTTCGTAGAAGGCTCTAATACAGAAACATAGATACTCATATCAATGAACACAAGACAGACTTATGCTCCCACACAATTTAACCCAAACCAAAATATATTAAGTACTTAGCTCTCACCAATGGGAACAATGTCTGCTCTCAGTCTAAACATCCTTTTGACTTCACATTTGGTATCAAAAAAAGCAGGATTTATTGATTAAAAATATTAGTAAATATATAAAGTTATAATCATAATATCAAAGAATTAGACTTTTAAGTATCTATAAGCATCCAGGTTTTAGTGAGTTGCAGATTTTTATGACACTGTGAGATTAAAGATAATATCCTGTTGCTACTGAAGTTGCTGCTAAAATCCACAACCTTAACACTGTTGGATCTGGCCTTTCATGCTACAGCTACTCAACTTGAGACTGTCACCTTCAAACTCATTTAGGGCTGTCTCTGCCTTCCTAGTGGCAAGTCAGTAGAATTACAGTATGAAAACATTCCAATACAGTATAAAAACCTGACACTTTTTGCTTTTAACAAGCTCTATGAGCATAAAATGAGCGTATCCCCAAGGTAGGTTTCAACAGCAGGTATCTTTTCCAATCCATACAAACAGCCTTTTATAAAAAAATACCTCTGATTTTGTACCTGTCAGCACTGACATTTTATTTCATAATTTACTTTTTCTTTCACACCTTCTAGATAGAACTGTGGTTAGTCCACCTGAATACTCCACAAAAATTTATTCCAGGCCTTACCCCAATCCTAGACCTACCCTGTAGTGCCTGATGGTCAAAAAAGCGCAGCTGTTATTTCACAGCTCAAATTCTTTCCGAGAGAAAATGCAAGTTTTAAGGTGCAGCTCACTGACTTAGTAATGCAAGTCATACCTAAGCAGCAGCAAAGTCTGGCTGAAGTGGAAGCACCAGAAGCTCCCATAGAATATTTGAACTTTACTGGGTCTGGCAGAAGCATTTACAGCCTGCAGAACAGCATGGCCAGAACTCCAAGTCCCAGCCAAAATATTACAGATCTGTTAAACCAGACTTAAACTTAGAGGTGTAACACCTCGGTCCTTCCATTACATTCAATAAATGAGCCAAGCATAACTCACTTTGTTGACGTTGTTTATTATCGAAGTAATTTTGCAAATGGAATTGGCTTCACAGTAGCAAAAGTTTTACAGTCAGATTAGTTACACTGGCTAAAAACAGAATCCATACCTTTTGAGATTTTAAAAATAAATCGACACTTTAAAAGAATAGAACATGAAAAGCCTGTGCTGTTGAAGATTAACCATTAGCAAGACTGCTATCTGGGGCTTCTCTGTAGCAAGAGTGTGTGTGCCAGAACAATAAACATACACTACCTGAAGTTTTCTGCTAGAAGCAAACACTGCATAAATGCTGTGCAATCCTTAAAAGCATCATACCAATACTTTGCAAAGGACTTCTTATTGACCTCCTCCAGGTGAGCGATTTCAGTTAAATCAATTTTTCCAGTTGTTCAAGAAATCAGTTATAAACACTTATTTGGGAATCACAGAATCATAGAATGTTTTGGGTTGGAAGGGACCCCTAGAGGTCATCTAGTCCAACTTCACATCTACTTTAGGAAGAAGCTTATCTTGCCTTTTCTCCACACTTTAACTCCTGTAATGCTGCAAGGCTGACTAGTACCTGCTGGTTAACAAAGTACCCTAGCCTACATGGTGAAAAGAAATTGTCACTTGAATTGACTTAGGGGAACAGATAGCTATGAATTGGTTTTACTTGCAGTTTTAATTAAAAAAGTAAAAATCCCATTCTCCACTGGAAAATAGTTATTAGAACACAAAACTGAATAGTGCAACACTGATTCATCTTTTCTTTTACCAAGCTCATCATTTGCTCACCATGAGCATCTTAACTTTCTCAAGTTGCCATCCTAGATACTTCTACAACTCATACAAAAGAGTGTGTGTAATCATAGGCATGCAATCTAACATAACTGAAGAGAAAATAACGCACTCACCAGACAGGACTACCTCATACTCCACAAAAATGACATGGGACAAGTTGTATTTGGTTGCTTGCTTGAACTCTTCTGTGGCACGATCTGGACCTAACAAGGTTGTGGGAGAAGCAAAGTGGTATGTTATGATCCTATAAAGGTAATCATACAGCAGACTGTCAATATGGTACTGCAATTGTTTCTTATAATAATCCTGGAGGGAAATAAAAAAGGACCTTGCCAAATGCTGACTACTATGGAGATCCTTTCATATACCTTGTGTCTTAACAGCCAAAATCTTACAGTAGCAGTGCTGTGTGGCCTCTGTTACAGTGATTATGCCATTTTAGAAGATGGTTTCTAGCTTTAACATAATGTTGTAATTGTGAATGTCAGTACACTAAAGAGGTTGCAACTGTCTATTTCGCAGCCTGATTCGAAGTCACCTACACATGTGGCTTTTCCTAAAGCTTGCAGGTAGGTCCTAGAACTGTATGGGCTACATCAGTGTTTAAGTACAGCTTGGGTAAGTAATAAGCTTTAGAAAAATTAAAAAGAAGAAACAGAAGGACAGAACACTGTCATTCCCAAAGCCACTACAATTTAACAACACCATCAGAAAGCCAGAGGTAAACTATCCGATCTAGATGCAGCTCTAATGAATGCAGGGGCAAGAACACCCTGTGCTCCATTGGAACACAGTCAGAGTCCCTCACTGCTCAAAAAACTCCTGTTATACTGCTGGGAATTTCCTTCCACACACAAAGAGTATCAATATTGACAATCATCTGCCTGACTAAAACATATTCCTTTCCTTCTGTGGGGCGAAATAACATTTAAAAGGTTTAATATGGCCAGCAAAATCCCTTTGCTGTAGGGCTATGGATAGCGTACTGTTCAGAGACTACCTTTATAAAGCTCCACAAAGCTCAATTACAGCTATCAGGCAGGCAACTGTAAGCATAAACAGTCTGTTCCCACCACTATACTTGTTCTCATGCTCTATGTGTTGCAAGAACAGAGTAAGAAAGCAAATTAATAAGCTACAGCTTTAACAACAGATGTGACCCAGCTAAGGAAGCATCACCCTTCTGCATCTACACACATAACTTCCGTTAGTATTGTACTATCTGCATACAAGTTCCTAGTAAACTGAAGCACACTGTGGGAGAAGACATCATAAATTATCCTTAAAGGAAAGGTCAATTTAATACAGTTGCAGCAATTTTCATTTTTTCAGTTTCCACAGTTACTATCTATACAGCTTTAAACATCAAACTGCTTGCCTTGGTAATTATCAAGTAATATAAATCCGCCATAACTAATTAATTGATTAAACAACATCAAGGTAGTACCTTAGGGTAACCAAATTTTAACAATTTAAGTAGAAGACAACATGTGATTGCTTTTACCAGGTGTAGATACATTATGTCCAAATGCCAAATTATGTGATGGGCTCCCCTGAGTTTGCCAGTTGACAGTTTGTGTAGTTGTCATGGGCTCTGAAAGGTAAAAAAAAAAAAAAAAAAAAAAAGCCCTGTTACAAAAAAATAGTTTTCTTTCACTTTGGTGATGAAACAAAGGAAATAGAGATTCCCCCACACCATGGTAGATAAAATACACTAAAAGTTTTAAGCTACATGTTCTACATGCTGGCAAATAATTTTATTGTCAGTTATTTTATAATGCGTTTCAGGAATATATAAACAGCAATTACTGATTGAATCTGCCTAATCATACAGCGTTCCAGGAGACAGTTATTCCAAGTTTTGTAGAAGGAAAGGGGATTCATTATCTCTTCTGTCCATGGATTGAAAAGGTTCCCACTCACAATTGGGAAAACTGGGCTACAACTTCAGTCTTCTCACTGAGAGAAGCACTGGGTGGCAGAGTTGATCACTGTGCAGTAGAAATACTACCTCTGAAAGCCTAGATCTTCTCAGAATTACTCCTTTTCTTTTACTGCATAAAATACTGAACTTTACCTCAAAGTTCTTAAACACATGCCTCTAGGCTACAGCTGAGACAATCTGGCTGTGCTGAAGGAGGTACCAGCTAGTGGTTTGCATCTAACTGTCTCTGAGTAAGCATTAAGCAGAGGTACCACATGCCTTCCAAGTTGCTGGACTGTTCTACAAAGCAGTGTTTTTCTTTATCAGCATGTCAGCTCACAACACAAGGACTGCTACGCCACAGGCAATCAGCCTTTTGCCTGGCTTGTTCCATCCACACTTTCATACTTTCCCTTATGCTTCAAACAATTTAAGAAACAATAAACCTGTATATTAAGGTGGATGATGTGGAAGAACAGAGCTTCAGGCTAGTTCATTTGGTGGTTGTTGGCAGTACACAGTTGTCAGTCTCAGCTACTAGTTCAAAATGGCTTTTTAAGCAAAAAAAATTATGAAGCCGTCTTCTAGCACTAGACAGTAGACAAGAGCACAAGCCTTGATCTCTGCCTGATGGAGCAACAAACTAGTCCAACTGTTTACCCCTGAAATAACAAGTGAAGGCTGAAAGTGTTCTGGGGAATCTTCCTCTGCCTGTGTGTGCAAACACCTTGACAGCATGCCAACGTTGTCATGGATCTCCTGAGTTTATGTCAGTCTAGTACATGCATCACCTGGTTTGTTACTGAAATCCCTGACGATGACAGATTCACAAGGCACCAGTGCCAGTTCATACTGTAGTTATCTAGCCACAAAAAACTAGACAACCTTTAAAGTGTCTTGCACACTAACAGGATCCTCACACTGACTTTCTTCCTCAATTCACATATTAAACTGAACTATTATACAGAATACTTAGCACATATAAATATGTGTGTTTAAGTATGGAAAGTCATTGAATCTGTTAGCTACTGCACTCCTCACATATGTTGTGCTAAAAGGCTCTGAAGATGAACACCAGGTTAATAGCATTATCGCCTCCAACAACAAAACTGTAGATAGAATAACTTGTCAAAACTTGCTTAGGTTCATGTATAAATATAACTTGGCCAATGTTTTATTTGGATTAATCAACACGAGCTTTGGCCCATTGCTCTGATCTTCATGGAGAAAGGAGAGGTGGGCACCAACAATCATCAGTTTCTTCTCTTACCTGGAACTTACTCTCTGCTCCCTATCAAAACCACAATTAAGATACAGAATATGGTGAATAAAGCATGAGGGACAAAAGAAGACTTTGACACAACATAATTCAAGAAATAGACAGATTAAGCTAGCAGCCACAGTGACACAAGGGCATTATTGTACCTTTCACTGATACAAGAGCATAAAGAAGAGTCCTCACATGAAAGTTTTTCATGTATAAGTGCTAGAACTGAACCCTCTAGTGGTTCTAGCTTGAGAATTGTCCCCTCTTCAGGGTCATTGCCTGCTTTTATGGCATATATGCGTAAGGGCAACTGATCACGCAACTGGCAGCTGGATAGCTTTTTCCCCAGCCCTTGAGATGCCTACAACACTTCAGCTCTCCCAGAGGCTTTAGAAGGCCTAGATGATATATTTACTTCTGTTTCCTCTGGAGAGTCACAATCTCATTTCAAAAAGACTTATTTAGTATGAAAATGTAAACTCTCCATGGTAACTCAGAGTCACTAGGAAGAAGTATTATAGCTTTAGGTGTACTGAAATAAAAGAATTACCAGGCGATGACTCATCAAGTCCAGCTTGCATCTTGGTCGAAGAGTTTGCCTGAGACTGACTGGCATCTTGTGTTGTCATAGCTGGATCTAAAAATAAAAAATGGTTTAAAGAAACTTTATTCTCAGTTGAACTGAGTTAGAAGTATCTAGATCATGAAAACAATTAAAAGAGCACCTCCTCACCTCAGCCTACTAACTCATTTTTTTCCCCAAGTTCTGAGCATACACAGCTAAAAACATGCAAGAATTACTTTTCATTAGTTCTTCAGCTTACTTCAGGCAAGAAAAGATTAAAGAACAGAGTACTCAAATCCTGTCTTGTTTGTGGGCTTAGCCTACCACATCTTATCACACTGATACTAGCTGATTATTTTTAAACATACATTAGCAGATTCACTAATAGAATAAGGACCTCATTACAGCCTTACATGTCTACCCTGTTTAGAGATGCAGTGAACAACCTCCTTTCCTTCTGTTGTCACTTTGGTGAGCAAAACAAAAGGCATCTGTGTCAAACATGGACTTAACCGAGTAATACTAATGACTATTTCTATTTTCCTTAATACCACTGCAGATCTGATTCTGCTCCTGTAATACAGTTTTTGCAAGAGCCAGGCAAGACTCTAGGGTTTTGCTTTACGTTCTTCACTGGAGAAAGGACAGCAGGGGAAAGATGCGAAAGATTTGCTTAGTCTGAGTCTGTTGCTGTGTCACTCTTCTAATAAGAATTCAAGGTCCCTAGATGTTTTGTAAAAAATGGAGATGTTTGCTCCTTCCTTTCTGTTCCCACATTTGGGTAGCAGAACTAGTTACCACAAAATGAACACTGTATCTTCACCTGCTTATGTACTCCAGGACATTCTACTGCCACAGCAGCAGGATGCACTCTTGCTCAGACTCACAGCAATCTCACGTTAATAACTTTTAAGCAATTTGGCCAATAGTTACACAGGGGAAAAAAGAACGCATGTTTTGCAGGTGTAATTGAAGTCTGGGAGGGGTAATAAGCTCTGCTAGACATCCACGACAGCAGCAAGCATAGATTGAAGGTGAAAAGCTGCATCATGCTTTAAGTGTGTTCAAACCTGTTGAGAACAGCGTGCCTTCAGCAGAAGGTAAAGTCAGCACCCTGCCAGTTCCTACAAGTGAACAACACTACTAACACTCCTACCCCATTTCAGCACTATAGGCACAGGCAACGTACAGACTCTCCCAGCGGCACCTCCAGCACACAGTTACTCCAGACTACGTCACGAGTCATGCCCGGCTTGCACCATCTGCTTTCTCAATCTGCCCATCACACTTCAACCGGTTTGGATCAAGAGTAGAACAAGATAGTCAACGGATATGATTAAAAAATAAGCATTGGTGGTTCTTAACAACATGCTCCCAGCATCTTCTGGCTTATGATCCAGACAGTAAGAAGACTGGGGTCTCATTCTCTGCTTGACAGAGGTGCTGAGAGCAGGGAGAGCTATTACACTTCTGATATTCATGGCAAGGTTGAAGAAAGGTCCGTGCATTTTTATATCTGCAGCATCTTGAGGCATTCTAAGGATGTCATGGATCACCTGACTGTGTCAGCTTAGTAGATGCATCACCTGCACAGTAATTAAAATCCCCAAAGATGATAAATTTAGAAGGTACCAGTGCCAAGCTGTACAGCAGCTCTGTTATCTCTCTGCAAGGAAACCATATAACCTGCAACATGGTTTGCATACTAATAGGGTTCTCATCTTGGCTTTCTTCATTGATTCACAGACCAAGTGAAAGCAGTCGAGTAGTGTTATATCTAGTCACCACTGCTTCCACGTCTTGGCTCTTGTATGTCCGTATATCAAACTACATAGCACAGAGATAACATTGCACCACCCTTGTGCTCTTGTATACAACTGCTGAATAGCAACCGAGATCAAGATGACCCAGCACTACATGATTAATGTCATCAAGCAAGGTAGTGATGTAAGCAAGTCAAGTGGAGTAACTTCTCAAACTATTGAGTCATGGCTGCATGCCTTAGCCTGCAATTGATTTGCATTAGATTTAATCAATAGTGTGGTAGCTTGCTGAGTTCTTGTTGCCCTGATCTTTACGCAGAAAGCTGTAGGTGAGAATATGAGGTCATTAATTTATTTTTCTATCTTACCTCTGCTCCCTACTGCAGCCACTATTTGGTGGATAAAGTGTGGATGTACCATACTTATCATTACCAGAGCAATTTTAGGCTTTAAAAATCTATTTGCTCTCTTTTTCAGCCAGACAAGTAGCTGAATAGGAAGAGGCTGAGATACAATTTAGTTTAATTTAACATGATTAATGTAGTGTTTGATTTAATGTCAATTAGTATCAAATTTATACTCTGTGCAAGCACACAAATATTCAGTAGCATCAAAAGCCAGCCATCAGAATCCCCTACTGACCCTAGAAAAGGGAAAAGCTGCAGGCTGGGCTCTCCTGAGGCATGAGAGAATCCACATGAAAGACTTCCAAGTGCCCTGATATAGAAGCCCTTCCCTCAGTGCAAGCCAGAAAAATCCAACCTGGAAGCAAAGTCTGTAAGAAGTGAGGGGCACCCTCTACTCTTGTAATTCCTCAGTATCTTTAGGGGCAGAAGCTGGGACATGAGATGTGGTGCATTTGCTTTTACTGAAGGAATCTGGCAGCACATGCTGCAACTAAGTTCAGCAACAACAATGGCAACCACATGAAGCAGCAAACTCTGAAGAACGGTGTTGTGACACTTAGTTAGAAATCGCCCTCAGCTCAATACAGAAGAAGTGGGATGGTTTAAGTTTTTCAAAACAATTAACAAAACAGTTACGAGACTGGAAGACAAAAGTAACAGAATAAGAACCCTCCTCAAGCTACTTACCACAAGAGGCCCCTTACAGTTTTGCTTTGAGGTATCTGCCCGACCAGCTGCAGGCAGCTATGCAACCCACCTTTCTGCAACTCAGTCCTTGTGCACCCAGCAACTCCCCCCCGGTTGCTTTCACTGCAAGCATTTATTTTGATTGCAGAAACCTGCTGAAGCCCCACTATCTCCAGAACACGTGCAGTTTCTGGACTTCGCTAGAAGACAGTTTGAGTTCTCCTCCCTCCAAGGGAGCGTGAGCTTCCCTTTGCTGCACCTGTGCAGGTAATACCCGTGCTTGACTGGGTTTTTGCACATTTGGTTAATAACCAATGGAAAAGTAAAATACTTTTCCTCACGTTTAACTCATCATGGAAATCACAGTATGATGCCTCCCTATCTAGTTCATACAAATACAAAAGCATTTAATAGGAGTCTTAAAAACAACAGCTGCACTTTTTACAGATAAAGGGTACTAAAAGCAGGTGGCTCATTTCTGATGTCTGCTCAAAACCAGACAGGATAACCACCACTTAAGGAAGATGGCAGATTTGTGGAAATTTTGGAAACACAAACAGGGTTTTGTTGCCCTTTTTTTAGTGGGTTTTTTTTTTTTTTCAGAAGAGGATATAATTTCACTGATGGTTTATACAAACTTAGAATTGCTTTGACCACCATTAGGTACATCTTTTGGCAGCAATAGTCATCAAAAATAAATACCATGTGGCTAAGTTGCCAAAATGTGACTCACACATTCCTATAAATATCAGGCCATTTACAGTCATAAAATTTTTTTGATCAACGAAATAAATTGTTAGAAAGGACTTCAAGTTTCATGAGTGTACAAAAACACACATATATATTTTAAGGAAGCTTTAAGAACTACAAAGCAGGTTCTCCTCTGTGTGCATACATAAATATATGCATTTTAAACAAGTCTTGAGTGCTGGACGCATTTTTCTGTCCTTTCACATCAGGTGAAATTACTACAAATTTTACACAAGTTATCATCACACAGGGAGCAGTATTGCTCCCCTCAGCGTTAGGAAGCCCAACAGCGGCACGCATTACCACGTAACTGCTCACCTACCACATGCTGAAAATGCAGCTGGGCCACTGATGGTTAATTAAAGCCGCAGCAGTAACGCTCACATACACGTACTGGCAGAACTTTCAGCCTTGGCAAGACCAACTACAACTCCAACAACTACATCTCACAGAGCAAGCATCAGCAATCTGATATTTCCTTCCGTTACCATTCTGTACTACTCCGTGATGCTTCAAAACCAGGGATTAACAACAGAAATCCACTAATTTCAGCAATCGGCTCCTATTTCCTTAGTCGCGTCTGGCCTGCTCCTGCACTGCTGAAAACCACTAGAGGAAGAATAGGGTCCGGAAGGCTCAAATCCCCCTTCCTTCACGCATTTTAAATGTCACATTTAAAAACGCAATATGAAGATCCCCCAGGGAACACTCCTCACAACCTGCCAGGCATGCTGATATTTTACCAATTTAACTTGCCGATTTGGGGGTTTCTCTTCAGGACTTCGATCGTGCTTTATTCGGGAAGGGCAAGGCACAATAAAACACCACGCCTCGACCTCCCAGTCCCGCACCTGC